GTGATGTACTTATTCTTCACGTATTCGTTTCTCGTGTAGATTTTATCGCCTTTTACATAACTCTATCGATTCTTATCAAAAGGTATTGAATTCTCAGCTATAGCATTACGTTAACGTTTTCAATGTACTGGACTTCTCATTTCACTTTATCTAATTCAATTTATTCAATGTGATTCCTAGTCGGTGTCATGTTTATCTTTCTCGGAAACACCTCTTCATTACAGTTTGCAAGAACTTGAAAGTTTTATTCCTTGAGAATTATTTACAATAGCTTAGATTTGTTATCTAATCTAATTGTTTAGGGATATAGAGAGTCAAAAACGGCAAACGCGTGATTTTGTGAGTAGTCGGGGATATATCGACCGCGTCTAAACCCCCTCTTGCTGCTCAGCTGCATCTTCTGTCTGGATCTACAAACTTTGACTACTTTTTAGCTTACATCATGCAAGTATGCATAGGACAAGTCAGCCACCTGCAGACAATTGCCCAATTAAGCTGTATAATATTTATAAACGTTTTTGAAAAGTTTTGGATTTAAGATTCGTGTTTGATTTTATTGATTAGATAAGAAGGCAGTGAAAGCTGTGAAACGATAAACGATAAAGGACAGTTGTTATTGGGATAATGTTCTAAAGTTCGGAATCCTAAGCAATCAGCAATGACATCACATAAGACTGCTTGATGCCTTCACTCTAAACGACTCTGTTTTATCTTTAAGGGCACCCTTAGTGTTTTCAAGCTTTTATGAACATCACATAAAGGAAATAATGGCGTCATTTCATGCAGTAGTGCCTGCTTTTTAATGGATTTTTCTATTGTACTGAACGTCTTATACACTTGTATTTAAGTGTCTTCTTGTAGTTTTCTTTTGGATACCAGTTTGCAATCTTAATTTTTTAAATTACGACATGATTTTATAATAACAAAATTATTTTTTACTTAAGATGTCGTTCAGGTGCATCGTTTTGTAAAATATTTGTAGTATGCGTCACATCTCTAGAATTATTTTAACAAAGTTTTATAATTATTGCGCGTTCATTCAAGTTTCTTGATCGTTGCTTATTTTCGTTTTGTGATTCAAGTCTTCAGCGGTGGAATAATGAAATTATGAATGCTTCCTTTTCTTTTTAATAAAAAAAAATATTATCATTATTTTTGTTACTTATTCTACTGGGAATAACTGCCTCCGTGGCCGAACCGTTACCATGCGGGACGGCTACGCAGAGGTGACAGGTTCGATTTCCGGGCCGAGAGAAATATTTGTATGGCCTACATATATTTCTCTCGTGTGTTTGGGTGTAATTTGAGGTGGTCTATTTGTGTGTCCATGGCACCCGCGACACAGGGTTTCCTTAGCGCGGGGCTATGTTGAGTGTGTGCGTTATTATTATTATTAATGCTACAGTTAAAACCGGGTTATTGTCGGGCACATTAATCTTTATTATATTTTTGCTTCGTTGACTTTCCATCACCTTTGTATAGATACCGTAGAAATCGGCACAGTAATTATTCTGATCGTGGATCAATGCCACAACAGAATCTGTTGTGGCATTGCATATCAGTATTGTTTTGCTAAGCCTACGATTAATTTCACATATTCTTTGTGTTCCCTTTGGGTAAATCGAAACCTATTCAGACATTCGGCTTACTAATGTAATTGAATGGAATGAATATTCGATTTCTAATAGATACTTACTTGCCAAGTTTGTCTATTAGTAAGTTTTTTGACCTCACACAGACCGACATTGACATAAAGTAATGTCTATGGGTGATGACCTCTGAGGCATTAGGCGTGTCCATGATCTTGATTGACAGGATTTGATACATTAATTATGTATTCTTTTCAACATTTAGTTCGTTTTTAGAGCCATTTTCATCTATTTTGACGCATATGACTTGCGCTGTGGGTTTTAGAAGGAAAAAAAATGATTATCACTAATATCAGGTTTCTTACCACGGTATGACTTCTTTTTATTTTCCCGATATTTCGGAACGGTTGCACGCTCCATGGTCACGGGTAGACTGCAGTGAACCTGATATTAGTGAATAACCACAAAAGTCTTAAAATTTATATAGGAAAAAAATGTTTAGCCCAAAATATTCTTTATTAGTTATCCGACGTCTTCCGAAGGGTTTAAACCATATTTCATCCTTTACGAAAAAGAGGTGGTGACAAAGAAAGAGGATGATTAGATGGTTTTAACTTGTAGAGATAGTGAAGGAAAGAAGGATTGATGAAATAGATTTATAAGGCGAGAGTGAGCGGGCAAGTTGTCAAAGGTCAACCAAGGCGGACTTACTATGGCCAAATTGAGGACGTCACGACGTCTAGGGTACCCTTAACTGATACGTGTTGATGAGACAAAAGATGTGTGTCGGGATCGTAGTAAGTGCAGGCTTTTGTCTCTGCCTGGGGGGTGATTCACGTAATCAAACTTTACCATATCGTAGGGATTTAGCCGTTGAACTGCTTTTTCGTATTCAAGTGTGACAGTGAACACAATTTTAAAGTCGTTCGATCCAAATGTCGTTAAAGCGTATTTTGGTATAAGTATCGAACTTAAATCGACTCTAAACTTGTATGTCACGTTTGGAACAATAATCAGCACGCTTTACTACATACTAAACGTGTGTTTTGTATGGGGTATCGTCGACATACTTTACACAATTTGCTTGCAGTACTGTGCTGTCAAGTGAATTAAACCTTAACTATAAGGGTTGTAGGATCACTGCGAAATCTTTGCTAATATAAGTTTATTGTAAATACAGCCTCTGAGTGATCCTGGTAAATGTTTACTTTAGTTATGAAAACAAAGACGATCGAGAGTCAATGTTTGCTATCTTTTCAGTATTTAAACAATAGTTTATAAAAACATTGCGTGATTGCCTCTGTTTTCTGCATATATATATGTTTTTTATAATATAAAGTTATGGGATGAGCAAGTCGTGTGCCTGTGGTAAGCTACACGCCTGTCTATAACAGTTACAGTGTCACTCAGAGTTTCAAATCGCAAGTATCTGAGGGGCACTGCCACTGCGTCTGTCACCCTGAGACATAAGTTGACAAGTCCCATGTGCCTGTAATTTCATATAATAGGAAGTATACATAGCTACTTGCTATTATTAGACTGACATTGTGTTTAAAAATGATTATATTGAGGTTTAATATATCCGAACAAATAGACAAAATTAATTTATAGTTTTATTTCCAATGTGTAGCAATCACTGAAACCTGTAATCAATAATGTAATTATTTCATTAATTAATTTTCATCAATCATCTTGCGGAGTGTATCAGCATAGTTTAATAAGATAAATATGGTAACTCCATACAAACGTTGCAGCGTGGCTTGTATGTGTGCGCGCCCGACGCGTGTCATGTACGCTCACATTCGCATAATCTCGCTTTGCGTAGCGCTGGTCATCTCAAGCGCCTGTCATTATTATGCGAATGTGAATTATATACCTGTCACTATTTACTTCGCATTCCTTTTGATATCTAAATAGCGATTAATATGTTATGTAGATTTTTTGAGTTGGACTCTAATAAAAACATACAGTTGATATTAATAAAATGTGTTTACGAGAAAGCTGTTTTATCACATCACTGGTATTTTTGTCTCGCATTGGTTGGGGCTCAGTGGTGTAGAATTATTATTAGAGTATGCTCTATTAAGAATTAAATCACGATGTCAATTCGTGTTCAATTACCTCCTTGTGATGTATGAGCGCTAAATGGCTTGATATATTTAGATCGCCTTTTAAGACTTGTCACACATTGGTTTTTATTTGTACTTACACCTATGTAGCAACAATCTACGTTTCCTATCTGGATATTAGGATTGCATTGAATTCCTGGGAATATTTATTTTAGGTCGTTGATTCCAATCTTGCTTCTTCTTTTTGCACTCTTCATACATACAGCATCCGTAAATTGTCTTGTTTTTATCGCATTAGCATTTAACTTTAGACTGAACGACAAAAGTATCCCCGTACTGTCTGGACCGGCGACGCAATCCAGTTTCTCCCTTGGCTTCCTCCCAAATGACATCTCCCTGATAAATTTCGAAGAAAATACATTTCAGATCTTTTGAATTCTCACGCCGAACTTAGAAAGGGCAATTTTGATCGGTGCCAATATATTATGCACCAAGATATAATATAAAATGCGAAAACGAATGTATATCGTATTGTAAACATATGACGTTGACGTTGAGATACCCACGCCCGTGTTCTCTTGCCAAAATCTGTTGCGCCGTTTTTTTGAGTTCCCTGCACGATGCTGTACTAATTCGTCGTCTGTACGGTTATTTTCTAATTAGGTTTATATGTTAAAAAAAAATGCGAGATCTGTGGGCATACGATCCGCTCCACTTCGTGCTGTTGACGCTCTTCTCAGTGCTCCCGCAGTTTGTGTACAGATGCCGTGACGTGCAGTTCTTCGTTAATGTGTTAATCAGCTTCTAATATTATTATTGCCGCTTCATAACGCGTGTAAGTGTTTAATGATTAATCAGCACTAAAGATTTCGAAACTCATGTTGTTCACTTCTTGCAGACGTCTGAATTTTATCTGTTCTGCGAAATCGTAGCATTCGTTGCCTTACCTATTTGAAAATAAACCTTTTTATGATATAACTAGATTGTGTGATTTACAATGGAATGTATCAATTGACGTCACAAATCCTGAGAATTGTTATGTAATGAAATGTGTGGTATAAACAAAACGTTTGCTGTTTTCCTTCATTTTTTCAAGTGCAAACGACGTGTTGGTTGTATTAGATAGTTTGTATTTATATGTTCTGATTAAAAACACATAATCGTAACTCTAATGATAATTCATTCAATCATACAAAGCAAAGTCAGCGATTTAAGTTCTCTAGTTAATAACTAGAGAACTTTACGCTGACTTTGCTTTGTCTTAACGTTTTTGTATTCTTTTGCCGTTTATGTCTGCCCTAAGTCCGAAATTGATCCTTACCATAAGTCGGCATTGTTACAGCTGGAGATCCCTTCTGTGGCGCCATTGATGGAGTTCCGCTTGGACAGCGCGGAGTACTGCCAGGCTCAACACAAATAAAGTGCAGGCGCACCGCGCGGACGCGTGACGCTACGCTGGACCCATGCCGCGTGCGCGCGCTGACTCGCTGAAAGCGCACACGTACACCCACCCACAGGTAAGTCTTATCACCATTTCGTTATGGTATAACAATTCCAGAACTGCACCTCTACATTATCGAGCCAGCGGCTGTCGGTTATCAACGTTGAAACTGCGCACGATTTAAACAAACAGTTAACGCTTTCGCGTCGAAAGGAAGGCACGATTGCTAGCCAACCTAGAACGCGCTATGTGCGATAATAGCGAGTGTTCTGGTATTAGTGCACTGTGCCCCGTAGATATCGTCGGTCAGGCTTATTGGATTAATGGGCAAATGTTAAGGACTTTAACCACCCTACCGCAAAATATAGCCGTTTAGTTCCGTTCATTCGGCCATTATTGTCGTTGTGATTTGACACTTCAAAGAAACCTTTACAATGACCTGTGGTGAGAATCGCATGACCGCTCCAAATTGTAAATCGAATCGAAAGCTACTTGGCACGAAAACTAATAGGCATTTGGAAAGTCATTTTGCGGAGTGAACTATTTTTCCTGTGAAAACAGATTTTCGTGAGGAGTAGTCATTGCCCTGAAAATAAGTGAATACATTTAGGACAGTGACTGTGTGGTTCGGTGTATGTTGGCTCGCTATATAGTTTTCTCACCTTCTAACTAACGAATGAATATCAGCGTGGGCGATGGAGGAATGTCTTTGTTTATCTAGCCTAGGGCAACCAATTTTCGAATAAACGTCTGCAGCGAACTACGTCGCCGAACAGCAATGTTATGCCCGTTATCTATTTGATTTGTGATTAAAACTAACTGATAGCATTGGGTATCAGCTGTTTGCGTAGCCTTACCTCACCGAATGTTAGTTCAAATTTGCACAACAGTTAAAATACACAGTCAACGAGTGGTGTTGATGGCGTAGTGTTTACGAATCGTGTTATCATTGATAAAAGTAGGATTATATATGACGAGAGGCAGTCACTTGGCACCGGTTCACAGAATTTACAGATCGCGAACGACGCCGACCCGCCGGTACCAATAGGTGCTCACATGACCACTGCGACCGTCTCTCTCTATTTTTAACGGTCCATTTTTTATCCCTCTACAGTGTTTGCTCTGGCTCTGACGCAAATGCACTTCCAAAATGATTGCCTCCATAAATAATCTGAACAATTTTCAGCCGCTAATAAATTATATATCTCTGTTCCAGTTACCTTAAATTCGGAGCCCGTTAATTGGTGCATATCAAGTCGCCGAAGTTCGAGTGAAAGCAACAACTTATGTTTTTCGCATAATTTTCTTTTTCATTCCACATTAAGAACTTTTGTTTCGCCGTTTCCGTATGTACTCAAGTGGTTGAAAACGACATCCATGCGGGTGGCTCAGATGATATAATTGGACCCTTTCTAAACAAAAGTAACGAAACTGCCGTGTGTTGTGTGGAAATAGAGTGACAGTTTGTCTGTTAGACTCTGACGGATCGTGAGACTTGCGACGCGGGTGAAGTGAGGCTGCGGTCTAGTGATTGTGAGTGTAGTAAGTGGGAGAAAGCGTAACCGTCACCATGAAGCAGAAGGACATCAGGCCGGCGCCGTCTCTCATCGAGTACAAATCCATGCGGTTCTTGATCACCGACAGGCCATCCGACGTTACCATCCAGTCCTATCTCCAGGTAATTAAAAAACCAGAAGTAAGCCCATGCAATTTGCACTAAAACAGATATTTTTTTTAAATACCAAGAGATCCTACGAACAAGTCGTGCGCCTGCCTGATGGTAAGCTACACGACTATCCATAGCAGTTGCACTCCCACTCAGAGCTTTAAATTGCAAAGATCTGAGCACCACCAGCACCCTTACTCTTCAAAACCGGAACACAGTAATGAATGCTGACGTTACTGCTTGGCGGCAGAAGTAGGTAAGGTAGCAGTACTTAAAACACAGACGAACTCAAAACCTAGACGAACTCTTTCACAAGGAGCTCTACTGCTTAAAAATAAATAATTAATAATTAACACTCTCTAGATAAAAGTTCACAATGTAAGAAAACGCACAATGAATATATTTTTAGTAGCATTGCAATTAGGAAATGAAACTATTTTTCCGGATTTAAATCGCGTATATTTGTTTTTTCAAACAAACCGACGTTTCGGGCCCTTTACAGGTCCCATGGTCACGGTTGGTCATGGTCATGGCACTGAAAAAACAAATATACGCGATTTAAATTCGGAAAAATACTTTCATTTCCTATGTGTAACAATCGCGAAAACCTAAGAACTCGATAAGCATTAGAACTCCTTGTAAGTACTGCCACTTTACCTATTTCTGCCGCCAAGCAGCAATATAAGCATTACTGTGTTCTGGATTTGAAGGGTAAGGGTGTTGGTGAAATTACAGGTACATGAGATTTGTCAACTTGTCTCAGGGTGACGGGCGCAGTGGCAGTACCCTTCAAACCTTTGCGATTTAAAGCTCTGTGTGGCACTGCAAGTACTAAGGACAGCCGTGTCGCTTACCACGCTCTAAATATAATAGATACAAATTGGCTTTAGAAAGAATTGTAAATAATTCTAATAATAAGAGAACCGAAAAACTGAAAAGTTTCTTCTAAAGTATCATGCCTAAAAAACATTCTATGTATTAAAGATGATTAGTTTTATTTTCACATTGTGTAACAATCAAATAACCCTTTCAGGAGCTGCGCAAGCATAACGTGTGCACGGTGGTGCGCGTGTGCGAGCCAAGTTACGATACGGCGCCTCTCAAGAGCGAGGGCATCGAGGTGCGAGACTTGGCTTACGACGACGGCACCTTCCCACCGCCAAATGTCGTCGACGAGTGGTTCGAGATCTTGCGCGAAAAGTAAGTAATTCCATTTAAGGCGAGGTTTTTCAAAGCGAGCCTACATTTCAGGAGGTGAGTTGTGGGATACCCCCTCGTGGCCCGCAACCCGCGCGCTATAAATTGGTATGAATAAAATAAGAATAGGCGGAGAAAATTTGACACAGATCCGACGTCGACAATCGCCCGATGGGGGCGGCGCGGCGCCTCGTTAAACCACCGGGCAATTTTCAAGTTTTGGGATAAATGTAAATTAAATAATAACGCGGCTGCAGTGGAAAAGATTTAGATCTCTGTAGTGCTTAAAGAGAAATATCTCCGTATAAAAATTATGTGCAAAGCTATATATTTAAAGTTAATATTTAAATAATTCGTTTTAGTCTTTTATTTTGACCTGTTTTCTGGATTTTATATGACCGAAGAAAGTGCGTCCTATCGTGTAACACATCAGCACATTCTTTAGACAATTTCGTTAGGTGTATCGTATATTTTTTGTAAGACCGTTATTTAATAGTAAATACATAAACTATTTGATCTTGCAAAACAGTTTTTCCTCCTCCGGTAACTCGCCTTAAATTTCCTAGATCCGGTTTAAAAGGGTAAGGGTGCTGGTGAAATTTCAGGCACATGGGACTTGTCAACTTGTCTCCGGGTGACGGGCACAGTGACAGTGCCCCTCAAATCTTTGCTATTTAAAGCTCTGAGTGGCACTGCAATTGTAATTGATAAGCGTGACGCTTACCATCAGGCGCACGACTTGTTCGTCCTAATCGTAAACGTATATAAAAAAAGGACTATTGCTTAAAAAGCTAAGTTTACTAGTCGCTACAATTGACGGTCGTTGCAGCAGTGTTGCAATTGAAGACACGACCTCGAGAAGTAGATAAAAGTATCATACGTCTAACGCCATAAAATCGGAATAATGTTAAATTTCATGCCAATTAGTTCCTGAATAGTGGACGTAAAAGAACTGCAATAACTTATGTGCAATATTGCGCAGAACAAATCAGGGGGTCAAAAAGGAAAACGGGGGAAAGAAATCAGGGGGTCTACTCTCGATTTCCATACGACATCCGTCCGAAACAATTACTGTCAAATAAGTAATATTCGACAAAATTAAAAGACAAGTATCAAATATGAAGCTCCATTCGCATCACGCGTCTTTTCATTTGGTCAAGTATTGCTTATGTGGCAGTATTTGTTGCGGACGGACGTCAGACGGAGATCGAGAGTAGACCCCCAGTTTTGAAGTATGTTTCATACTTTGTCGTGCAATGTAGTTTAGTAGCAGTAGAGCTCCTTATGATAGAGTTCGTCCAGTAATGTCAGCATTCTTGCATTTCAATTTTGAAGGGGAAGAGTGCTGATGAAATTACAGGCATATTGGACTTGTCAACTTATGTCTCAGGGTGCCGGGCATAGTGGCAGTGCCCCTCAGATGATCTTTGTAATTTAAAGCTCAGAGTAGCACTGCAACAGGCGTGTTGCTTACCACCAGCAAACGACTTGTTCGTCCCGTCACTTGGTATTATTAAAAGAAAATGTTGTAGAATTCTGTGATCTCATTCAATAAAATGTTCTTTTTTCGTAACATTCACATTCTTTACAAAACAAATACATGTAGTAAGTATAATGTTTTGAGGCCGATTATTTATCGTACTAGGTACGCTGTGAATTCCTTAGTCATGTGTAATTATTAAGATGTTGCCATTTTCTCTTGTTATTTTCGCATTATTTTTAAAACATTCACGTGCAATATGTTTTTTATAATATGTGCTGTGGTTGTGAATTCCTTGTTACGTTTAATGTTATCGTTTTAATACTAATTAATGAAACCGTTGCAATTTATGGTTTTAAATCCTTGAATGCTATATGACCGATGATCTTACTTGTTGACGTAGTAACAATACTAATATGTGAGTGACGTCAAGCCTGATGCAAAGTGATTTAATGGTAAAGCCTAGGGCTTATATAACATCTTATGATTGAGCAAACATTATTTATTGTTCTTCGGAAAAGCAAAGTTAGACGAATTAACTCTTATCTAGTTTGTTTTCCCTACAAACTATTGAACTAAAATGTTAATAATAATTATTATGTCACCTTCATTCAGCCATTTTTTCGTCCCACTACTAAGCACGGGTCTCCTCACAGGCGAGGTTTTAGGTTATAGGCCGCCACGCTGACCCATAGGATGTTTTCCTTCACCGAAATATAATATAGAAATAAATTCCGTAAAACTCGGAGGAATCGCCCCGATTCGCACTCACGGCTTCAGATTGAAAGGCGGTAGACCAAACCACTAGGGCGCATTTATTAGACACGAATTTCATGGCGCTCACCCCGCGCGGCCGCCGAGCGGAGTCCGCGTTGCCTCCGTTGGCCCGCGCGAAAACTTTCTCTTCGTGTAACTGGGTGCTTATATTTTATAAAAAGTTGTTGTTTGTGATGATAACATAGTCCTGAGAGGTTGTTAATATTTTACAAATAACCCTGTATTATGATGTAAATATCTTCCTTCTTCTTTTTATACGTTGGAACCTGTATGAGTTCTGAAATATGTCGCCGGCGGCGTAAGAAATTGTTGACATTAATAAGCAGCTCCTAAGTCCGGTATTAAGTGCGTGTGGGCTGACATACCACTCAGTTATATAGACACATTTTAAGCTCTCTTGTATTCATAGACTAGAATCACCAGCATTTTATGATACCATCTCAAGTGACCAAGGCCCTGTACTTGATTGAGTAGGATTTAATAATGATCTTGAGTGAAATTATCTTATCTTTTAATTATCGCTTAAGTATTGACTGACGTTTTTTCCGTTTACGCTTCGCTTATGTGTCGAGGGACGAGTAATTATTAATAAGCGGAATTTTTTTCAAATCTCAAGTGACGATAGTAAACTTAAGCGTACACTCAAGTGTCATTTAAGATGGAGAACGACCGTGCATTTGAAATGGATTTGTTAAACATGGGTTATTATTAGAATTGCAACGAATATTCGGTTACTATTCGGTATTCGACTTATTCGGCATATTTTTTGCAATTCAGCCGAATACCGAATATTAAATCACTATTCGGCTGAATACCTAAAAAAGGGAGGAAGAAATAAGAAAATACAGTAAATTATCACCAAATAGTAACTTCTATGAAATAAAAAAAAGGTAACAAATCAAATGACACTACCTACTTATTATGTAATTTTGTCATGAAATCATGATTAAATAAACGCTAACAAAATCAACCTAGTACTTATTATTTGCAAATGAAAATAAAATTAGTTTTTGAAAGTTAATCAAGCTGAAGTGAAATAAACAATTACTTTCTTCGTTAAGATGTCATAAATTTGAATTATAAACTTGAAAATAAAATTTCTTTTTTTGTTTCTTTTTACAAAACCATGCATTCCTGGTTTAATTTAATTTAACTTATATAATATATATGCGTGTCTATCTAGGTATCTTTTTAGCGCGCCAATTTTCGTAAGATCATTAACCTAGTTTACCCGAATATTTGGCTATTCGGCCTCGGTCCGGGGCGAATATTCGGTATTCGGCATGAAGGCGAAATACTATTCGTTGCAACATTAGTTATCATATAAACACATTTATACGTCCCACTGCTGGGCACAGGACTGCTCTCAGGCGAGGGTTTATCTGGCCCAATGCGGGTTGGGAATTTCACACGCTTTGTGAGGGATATGAACCTGCTTTGTTGAGCCGGTTTCATAACTATGTTTTCCTTCAAAGCTCGTGGTAAATTTCAAATTACATTTCGCACATAAATTTCTAGAACCTCCGAGGTGCGAGGCTGGATTCGAATCCACAGCCTCTGCTTGAGAGGTGGTAGGTCAAGCCAATTAGACTACCAACGTGGGCTACAAACACCATTAAGCCCAATCCTGAATTTTGCATATCTGCTGGGTTTATACATAGCCGTCAATTATATGTTCATATTTTGCTTAATGTATGGTTTTTATGATTATTTTAATCAGCTCGTAAAAAAATCAATTTCAAACAGTACATAAAACGTTCGAATTCTAGTAGTCTCTATAACAGTTTCCGTTTCCTTTCGTCGATACTGCCTTTTAATGGTCACACGACACTCCACTACTGCATGGTATAAGACAAGCAGGGCAACTCTAATAATCTCGCGATGCACTCGCGTCGCCTAGCGCGGGTCACACGCGACATTAATTATAGAATTAAAGCGTTCGCTCGTAGTAAATAGTAGACGTGTTTATTTTTGTGTTTGGAACAGAAGTGACTTAAATTCATTAATTTCCTTTCTATTTCATAATCATACTCTCATAACCGAGATACCAATATGCGATGCTTTTATAAAAATATCAATACGTAAATAATGCATATAACAAAGATTATTTTAATCTAGCACGAGAATATTATGACGGACATCTTAATTTTTTTAAATTTTGCTTGGAACCTGTAGGGACAACTAAATTAATAATATGAGTACCCTACGCTCCAAGTGAAATGTAGGCATTTATGCGCCGAACAGATGGAAGTTGCCCTATTTGACTTATTATACTCTGACGACTGGGTAAGCATATACCTAAGCCAGGGGAGATTAAAACAATGAAAGCCAGGAAAATAGTTCTGTTCTTTAACAATGTTGGTTTTGGCTCTTTTGCAATTACTGGTCGCAGTGATGAACGACTGTGCAGTCCCGGAACGTAGCCTCCATAATAACTTGGCATAATAACACAAGTTTCGTAACCATAGAAACTTAGCGCGACATGCCTGCCGCGCGCCCCGTACGGACACACACATTCGCATAATAATAATGAAAGGCGCGTGTGACGGTCAGCCCTATGCGATGCGAGTGCATCGTGAGATTATGCCGCGGGCGCGTCCACTTAGAGGCTCCGCTGCTACTTGTATGGGGTTATTGTCCTATTAAACTATAGTAATAATAATAAAAAACATCCCCAAAATGTTTTGTTTATAGATTTCGTGTGCATTTTCAAATCACTTTAAAAACTTTGGGAGACTTTCGAATTCTTCTAAACTTATAGAGTGTTTTGCCTGGAAAGCAATCCGATGGGAAATTATGTGAGCTATAAACGAGGATAATGCTTCTTACGCGCCCATAACGTTTTATCTCTTGTTTTTATTTTGTTGCCTGTGTAATAAAAACGTTACGGAAGTGTTTTAAATCGGTGTAATTCTGCACTACTGCTACTAGCACATTATTGTCATAAAGTTTCTTTTGTACATACTTTATTTATAGTATTATTTTTTAAGTCCCAGCTTCGCAATTATTCGAGTTTGTTCTAGGGAAGTTAACGATTGCATTGTTAACATATTTCATTCTAATGTTGGCATTAAAAGTTTATTAGTATAATTAATTTTAATGGTATGTTTAGGTTACCGCAGCTCCAAATCGACTTGAGCTAATATCGCACTTCTCATGGAAGAATGGCATAAGTGGAGTTACGTCGAAAACGTTTATTACTCCATGAGATACCAAAAAAATATAACCTATATCCTCTCTAATTCTTGTAACTTTGTCAACTAATGTTGTAGATCGAGTTACAAGAATTGGAGAGGATGTGGGTTATATTTTTCTGTATCTAATGGAGCAATAAATATTTTTGACGTAACTCTACTTATGTCATTCTCCCATGAGGGGTGCGATATGTCGTCGGCGGCGTAGGAAATTTTAGGCCGTATTATAAAGTGCATATAGGCTAAGATTACCACTTAGATCACGTGATTTATTTTAAGCTCTCCGGTATTAATAGACTATAATCAGCGGCATCTCGGATCAGTCTTGCTTGATCACTTCAGAGATCAAGCAAGACTGAAAACTGCACTTGACTGATTAGAACTTAATAACGATCTTGACTCGAGTGTTGAGTGACGTATTTCCGTTTATTAAAGCGTAAAGTAATTATTAACGGTGGCGTAATGCCGCTGATGTTAATAGATTTTTTGCCCTGCAAAAACGGACGGGTAGAACAATTTACAAGCTGGGCTCTAGCGTGTTTTTATGAGAGATTAAAAAAACATTTTTAAACTGACGTTACAGTAAGTTAATGAAAATTTTATAATAAGAATCAATGACCTACTAACAAATCAATCATAAGAATAGTATTTTTTTATGAAAAATAGTGATAAACATAACATTAATACAAGGAATAAAATTAAAGTAGCTGGCAGTCGCCTTTACAAGGTCACAAATTCATTTAAGGGGCAATGAATGTGTAAGTTGTTTTGATCTATGGCATTCCAAATAAGTATTGGTAATGATAAATTTGTGCAAATGTTTATTTGCAAAGAGCAATCTCTTGAATTTTTTACTCATTTTTCTTTGACTTAGGAATGGGTAGTAGATTTTAATCAATATGTCGATTTCAATTGTAATTTGTTTACCTATGAAATTTAAATAAATTTGACTTTTGATATAATTATTAATACAAAGATCGAACTTTTGAGTTATATATGAGGAAATGTTTAAGGGTGCGTACAGATCTGGTGAATGCGCTGCTTGCATACTGCACGCGCGCTGCATGCATGTTAAATCGATGGGGCTCTTATACTTAGGACCCATCGAAAAACGGCACGTGAACAGATCGCATAACGTAGTGCTCGTATGCAGCTCGCGAACATTTCGCAAACAGGCCCGTTTGCGGCGCTTTCGCCAGTTCTGTACGCGGCTTAAAAGTCTGAAATGCGTAATCAATAATTAATCAATGAGTAATCGTTGATGTACACTCAAGTGATACAGACAATTTATTAAAAACAAGATTTTATTATTGGAACTGTAGTTGAGACGAGTTTATTATTATAGGCCGAAAAAAGTCAGTCATGTGGACATCAGATATTTTTAATTAATATATCGTTATTTGCAATTGCAGAGCGCAGAACAAGCCGGAAGAGGCGGTAGCGGTGCACTGCGTCGCGGGACTGGGCCGCGCGCCCGTCATGGTTGCGCTGGCTCTCATCGAGCTCGGCATGAAGTACGAGGAGGCCGTCGAGACCATCAGGGAGTGAGTATTCACTGTTTTCTATGCGGATTTGAAGTTTAACGACGGAACAAGATAAAGGCGTACGTTCTATTAAATCTACACAATAACGCATAAAAGATTGAAAAATGAAGTGAAAAATCTAAATATCCCCATACAAATCAACCAGTCTATGAAAAAAAAGACTGTATGGAAAAGACACCAAATAATTATGACTATTTGTGAGTAAATACTGTACTATCCATTCTCAGCTACGTCGTGGGTTCAGAAAGTATGCAGTATACTTACTTCTTTCAGTCTAATGTGTGTTGTTTTGTCATTTCAGTCAGCGTCGTGGCGCCATCAACGCTAAGCAGCTCTCGTACTTGGAGAAGTACAGGCCAAAGTCGCGTCTCAAGAAGAACGGGCATAAGAACTCTTGCTGCATACAATAAACGGCCTATTCACGATCCTACATATTGCCTGGACGGAACGAGTCGATCAGACGCAAGACAGAAAAAGTCAGCATTATTCTTGCAGCCTTTCTCTGTCGGACAATATTTAGGTTATTGAATAAGTCCGTAACGCAAGCAAGCGCGCCTGTAGGAACCCGTCCGCGCCCATAACAGCGAATGTAGCTCTGCTTTCACACACACACCGACACAGGGCAGCATCACACAACCAACTAGTTTATATAATATAACGTAGCATGTCGCCTTTTCGACGACCTCCTTATTATTTCGTTGGGATTGTAACCGAATTCCGACTAACCGAGCTTGCACTCGGTGCGCACATTCCCGACCCCTTTCACTCGAACTAACCGAGAATTTGGTTATGATCTCTTCAGTCTTTGACATATTTATCTCGAGTTTTCTATGAAGTTTTTAATTGAGAGTCTTATTGTAAGCTAATGTTTGTACATTCAAAGTAAAGGTGTATTACCCTTGTGCTGTACTGTGTATTAGAGGAAAATGTTAAATAATAGAAGCGAGCCACAATTTGTGTTCATAGTTGAAACAGTTACTCGGGGTATTTGTAAACTTTGAAATCATAATAAATTTCAATGTATCCATAATAAGTGCAATGCAGTCAACGTCGAAACGTATGTACTTCTTTAGTTTCTTTCAATGTATTTTATTCGTTTGTGTGGTGAAATAATGGTTTATACTTCCTTGATTTTTATTTTCCTTAGTGACTTTGTATTATAATAAACTGAGACATAATAGGCGATTTGATATTTTATGTTTCACGAGACAATTCGATATATTTGTCATAATGTGTAATATTGTGCTTTTGTAAACAAATGTTGTGAAGACGTAGTTGTTGTTTTGAACGCAATTTAAATCACTGAAAGTAGGAATATTTAAAAATGCTGAATTAAATATATATATGTATACTGAACTAATAGACGCCCAAATCTAAAAATACCTGATACTTGGCTCATTAAAATGTTCCAATGAAAATAGCTCTTTGATATTATTTTTCTATTTCTATTATTATGAAGATTAACGAAATGTAATGATCGTGTCACTACGGAACAGTCACATTCATAAATAAAATTATTTATAAGCAAATATTACTGTTTTATTATAATTATTACCTTAAGGTAGGCGGTATCTTTTCTCTTGCTTTGCAAATAGGTTTTGCCGCACGACGAGGGGGCAGTGGCAAATTCATCCCTCCACACAGCCCGAGTCGGTCAGTGACGAATAGTTGACATGACAAGTCATTAAACTTTTACGCGTGTTTTAACGGTCACGCTGGGTCTACTTTGTTTCGGCTTTATCATTATTCAGGGCGCGTTCACGCTCCGGAAGACCGTCGTGAGAACTTGCAGAAGCGCTGTGTATTCACGCGTCACGCGCGCTTCGAAAGCATGACCAAATTTTTAGTGATTCACCTTTGGATTACTGTTGTTGCTACTCCATGGAATAAAAAAGGGCAGATATCTAACCGCGCCGTCAAATTAGACGCTAAGGCACAATTCACTGAATGGAAGCGTCAATTTCGCCTAGCTGCGTGGAATCCTTGAGCATACCAGCGACCGCGCACTTCGGAAGTCGCCGACGACAGCTCGCGAATACGCGAACATTCTCGAGGGTGTGTGAGAATTCCGCGGAAGACGCGCGTCGTGATTTTTGGCTCGTATGTAGTCTGTACGCTACACAGTTGATCATAAAGTTCATTATGTACAATATCGTTACAAAAATTCGCTCCCACTCCGTTCCGCTGCAATATAAATGGACCTTGGCGCTGCAGCCGTGCCACTACTAATTTTCAACAATATTTAGACACGCAGTTGCAGCGCCACTATCGTGACACGTGCGCACCACTTTTGCAGTCACAATTAGTGAACTATAAATTATTGAAGAGCTACATACTCGCGGCAATGCAGCGTTTAATTTGAAGGCGCCTTTAGTGCCCTAAGGGTCGTATTTGAGAACTCTACTCAATGCTCAAATCAGGACTTGAGCAGACTTGAGTATGATTTCAAGCACTGGAAATACGACCCTAATGGCAAGGACTTGAGTATGATTTTCAGTGCTCACTGCAATACTCAAGTCCTGACTTGAGTATTGAGTAAAGTTCTGGAATACGACCCTAAGGGTCATATTCCACACTTGAGTATGATTTAAAGCACTGGAAATACGACCCTAATTGCAAGGACTTAAGTATGATTTCGAGTGCTTTAAACACTGGAAATACGATTTAATGGCAAGGACTTGAGTATGATTTCGAGTGCTTTAAATCATACTCAAATCCTGACTTGAGCATTGAGTAGAGTTCTAGAATACGACCCTTAGTACACATACTACACACATAAAAATATTCTTACCCTAAAACGCGGCTAAATGGCAAAATATCTTTTTGAGATCTAAAAAAACATAACCCAGTTTCAGAATATTGAAATTGTTTAATAATACTTCAGCTATGCATCGTTAGGGTAAGTTCCGATAAGTTGAACACGTTAACTAATTTAACTGTTTTCAAAAGAGAATTTTATACTCTATTTTTTACTATTGAAAACGGTTATTTGACCATTTGTCTGACTTGACGACCTCTATGGCCCAACTGTGTGCACAGCAGGCGCTGGATGAGGAGATCCCGGGTTCGATTCCCGATAGGATCAACTTGGAAAATGAGCTTTTCTAAGTTGGCTCTGGTCTGAGCTGGGCCTCGAAGTGAATTCCGTTAATCTGGTACTCTTCGTACAAGGAATTTCCTAGCTTGAGACCAGGTAATTGAGTGTATTGGGAGCACGTACTCTCTGTAGAAATTTTATGATACCTTGCATTTCTCGCTAAGCGAATTTGTATTCTTTTAAGAAATAAATATCCTAAACCATATTTGAATAATCAAACCTCTTCCTATATGTATCAGGACCATATTAGTACAGAATTAGTGTTAACTGTTTTCATTATGCTACTTGAAATTATACAAAGATTTTAGTATTGAAAAAAGGAACTCCTTTTATTTACTTTGAAAGAAATAGTTACTGTGCACCACAGTACCAACCTCTTTAAATTATTTTTAATGTATTGTCTTTGGATTTCCTTTTCTTCTCGTTGTCTTTTAAAAAAAATACACTTATGAACGTACGTTATTCAACCGTTTTTTTCATCAAAAATATAATTTAGTCCTTTGTAGCAATAGTTACTTTACAAATAAATGATTTTGGCCGTTTACAAAAGTTAAGAGATACCTAAGTAATGTTTAAACTGAAAAAAAAAAAGAACAAGTCCGTTTCCCGCGTTGCAAGCGCTTTTTATCTAAACTCGCCCCTCCTTTGAAACTTTGAAACGTTCGAGAGGGAACAACCTTCGTCGAACGATAGCGCTACTGTCGCATATCGCCGTCTTACTTTCTCAAACTCGTATCTTAGAGCACAACGTTACTGAAATGCAAAAAATGGATAGTATATACAAATTTTGCAGGCTGATTTGACATCACATTTACGTCATATTCACACACTGACTTTTACCTATTCTTAAAGAAACGCATTCACATTAATACCCTGGATAGGAAATTTAAAATAAATAGAAAGTTTTGCCATCTGAATAATAACTCTTTACAAGATACATTTGAGAAAGTAATGCGTCGATATAGTACCAGTTGCGGTCACTGGTGGTGCCTCTTTTGTTAATTTTAATTTTTTTTAAAGGCTAAAATATGGTTTGCAATAGCAAGTGAAACTAATGTATGAATGCAAAATCTTTATTACAGAGGTAGAATTCCAATGATAACCTACCTTAAATTGAATTCGAACATGAACAATATTAAACCAGCGTTTTTGTAAATAAAAAGTGGTATTACAGTTAGACATAGTCATCGATTTGTCGATAATCATACTAACAAACACGATTAGTATGGCATGTTCGCAACGCAACATCGACCTGAAGGCATCCCACACTAATCGTGTTTTCTGTATTCACAATCTGTCAATGTCTTGACCTTTAATTAACCAAGATTAGACACATTATTATAAACATACAAAAACTACCTTACAATTACACTGACTGCCACTTAAACTGCCCTCGTAATGAAAAAAGGCAAACTATGCGTACTTCACACAACAGTTGACTTTTTTCGTTAAATTACTTAAATTATCGGTAAAAAGTTTGTAAACAAAAACATCTATACATATGTATATTTTATAAAAGGAGTTGTGCTACAACAAAAAAAAACACATTTTAGTATGTTTATTTCCAGTATCAAAATTATCTGTATGGTCTAATTTCAGTAATATGTCCAAAGCGATAAATTTTGCTTGGAATATAATATGTTTGAAATGCTCAAAATTTGACAAAAATCAACCAAATGTTTAGTAAACAGAGCGCACTCAGGATTGCAACTGAAAAAAAAAAAATTGCATGTGCACTTTGAATTTTTTAACATCAGATTAATTTATTTTAATGTACAGGAACTTCGAAGTTAAACTGTGGCAGTCAGAGATCTCTCGTTACGTATTCGAACAGTTACAAAAATACGAAGATTTTGTCTTTTTCATATGATTTATATCGGCAAAATTTCAATACTAACAATACTGATGCATACAAATGGGGTATCACCCTAATACAAGCATACCACTGAAGTAGTGATCCATTAGCTTAACAAACTATTAGTGTAACCCACTAACATCTTAACGATTTTTTTTGTAATGGAATAGTACATGGTATAATTATTAACTTCATATCAATTTTGTAACATACAATTACTGCTTTAGAATTCTCCGGAATCTCGTATCTAATTTGTACGTTACTCAATTGACATAAATATTATTATGCTATGGTTACTAGAGTTGTTGCTGATGCAGGTATTTTACACATCAGCGGATGCCGATTTCTTACCTTAGCAGAGGCTGAAGCGCATGCTAATATTATCGCTGACTAAAAAAATCGTGAAGAGTGTACAGATCCTATCTACATGAAACAGCTCCTTAACAATAATGATTTTTTAAATGATTTCTGTCATCATTTCTTAATCGACTTCAAAAAAGAAGGAGGTTCACAATTCGACTGTTTTTTTTTTGGGATGTATGTTACGCGACCGAAACCGATTTTGGAGATTTATTTTCGTCGGAAAGAGGGTACCTCGTAGTGGTCTCATTTAAATTTGAAGAAAATATTCCACCTCTAAGGGTGGCAAAGTAGGGGATGAATTAGGCTTCGTGCACTTTCCGGTAACCGATTTCAATAAAACTTGGCATACAGATATAATTCCACGAGGGGTCGGTTTTTTAACAAAAAAATTAACCTGCCTAAAATCAATCTATCTATCGAGTTCTTAGGTTTTCGCGATTGTTACACATAGGAAATGAAACTATTTTTCCGGATTTAAATCGCGTATAATTTGACTCAGTCAAGCGTGACCATGGGACCTGTAAAGGGCCCGAAACGTCGGTTTGTTTGGAAAAACAAATTATACGCGATTTAAATCCGGAAAAATAGTTTCATTTCCTATCAATCTATCTACTTAGTTTAATCATACTGCAATAGTATCAAAGGTAACAACGACTGTTTCTGGATGGTTTGTAAATTATTTTAGACTGCGGTAACCTTTTAGGTAATGTCACGAAGCGAATATCCGCATTGAATACCGGCATCGATCAATGCGGAGGCTGATGCGGATATTTTAATTTCAGCATTTTTATTTTAAAATCCGCAGACGTGTATGTGGATGCTGATATTTGCAACAACCCTAATTCGCTTCAATTCCGTATCCTTATAAGTAAAAAAAATATAAATTGAACTGTTTTCATGCTTATAAACCTAAGAGCAAATTACAGGCCTACCGCTTAACAGAATCGGTTCCTGAGATAGCTGCGCGGAGCGGGAGGGGTATCAGTTTACGTAACAGTTATTTCGCGCTGCACACGGAATAATTTCTGCAAGGTTGTTCTGACGATATTTAATAATAAGTAAAGTTGACTGAAAAAGTAGGTACCTACCAAATTAGTCAATTGTTAAAACCATAACAATAAATTAATTCACTGATAATTAAAATGAATAGACATTTGTCACTTTTTTCAATCAACTTATTGAATATCGTAAGAAAAATTTTGTTGAAATTATCCAACATCATTATCCAGAAGCGCAACATAAATGTTAATTAAACTATCAGTCTTCCCGCACCGCGCAGCTACCTCAGGAAACAGCTCACTTAAGCGGTAAGTCTGTGAAAATAGGGGGATTTTTCAATTTGTACTTTTAATAAGGTACACAACGTATATACCACAATTCTTACTTCTTAGGCGTATACTTATGAACCTTTCCTCCGTATCGGGCGATGAATGTCTTAATATCAAACTTGCGTTTGCATCCTTCGTAGTTCATATATCGTATTTTGCCGAACACCGCGCGTTCCGCCCAGCCTTGATCGTGGATCCCGCATATTGACCACATGCAGCCTGAAATAAGGTAATTGTGTTTATTTTTTTCGAAAACTTTAAGCGGGACGGAGTCCGTTTGACTTGAAACAGTAAATTTCCTAGAAGTACTTCCACCACCAAATTCTTGGTGGCTTGCTAAGATGGACTAGTCCGATGTGTTACATATTGTGTAGGACTTCCGCAAAGGCAATATATAGGTATAGGAATTTAAAGTGCTCAGACGGAAAGCGATTTGGGATATTTTAAGATTTATTCAGAGATTAACTGTAAATAAATTAAAAGGGTTAATAAGGGTGCACAAAATGGGATGAAATAAAATTCAAAAACATTGAAATTAATTTTTTTTTACACAAAACAAAAACTGAAGCTGATTTTTACTTTTCCGCCGCCTAGCTCACACTGCTAAGCCCGTTTGCTATGGAATGCAAACAATTCGCTCAGGCGAATATTTAAACAATTGTATCCTCGAACCCTAGCCTCGTGCAAAAAAAATGTAAAACGTCGACTTTAAGATCTGGGCTCATTCTATTTTGTAGTATATTTAAAATTCGCATTTGATATTAATAAATTATTATTTCGGTTTTAAATTTCATAAGAACTTTTCATCAATGTTTGCAATAAATAAGAATAATATAACAATAATAATAACGCACACACTTATAGCACTAGGGAAACCTTGTGTCGCGGGTGTCGTGGACACCCACATACACAACCATGAATAACTCCCGAGATAAATTAATGTAGGCGACACAAATATTTCTCCCCGCCTGGAAATCGACCCAAGGACCACTGCGTGTCAATCCAGCATGGTAGCCGTTCAGCCATTAAAAATATCTTTGTGTTTTCAATTCACTAATGTAAATTTTAAAATTGCTACACAAACGGGCTAGGATAGGAAGACTTACCAACATATCCATTGGGGTCTCTCCCATCAATACTATAATGGTCATTTAAATAAATGGCATATTTCAGTGCATCCTCCGGACTCTCCGTCCATTCTAAGATCTTTTTACACCAGTACATTCGTAAAAATCCGTGCATCTTTCCTTCTTTCACCAGTTGTATTTGAGCAGAGTTCCAAAGGTCGTCGTGTGTTTCGGCTTTTGATAGCTGGTCTAGCGTGTAGATATGAGTGCGTTTGTCTTTTCTGAAAATGATTTAAATACTCTGTTAAAGAATAATTCATGAATCCAAGATAGCGCCGTGGTTTGAACCACATCAGAAATGAAGGGTTTTTATTACTATTCTTACGAAAAACGAAGGGCTATAGTAGTGTTTAACCAATATGACGAAAATAAATAAAAGCATTCTTAACCGATTTAAAAAAAGGAGGAGACTCAATTTGACTGTACTTTTTTGTATGTTACACGATTACTTCGACATTTAGTGAACTGGTTACGATGATTTTTTTATAGTTGAAAAGACGGTACTGTAGACTAGGCTGTATGATTTGTGTTAGTACTGGCGGAATAAATTTGTAGGTTTGAATATAAAAAAATAGACTTATATAAAAAAATAGAACATCGTAAAAAAATGAAAATCCTGGTGGGTCTAGAAGCTTCGATCTGAATACACGTAGTAAAGTTTTATTTATGTTTATTTTCCTCGTTTCTCATTGAAATGTGCCTTTTGCTACGCTAACCCACGGCTACGACCCTTACAGTACCTCATTCAAATTTGAAGAAATTATTCCACCTCTAAGTTTGCGTCCACAGTGAATGCGCAGTGATCAGGACCTGTGGTGGGCGCGACGGCGAGGGCGTGCCGGTGGCCACAGTAACGTGCGCGCTGTTGTAGCGCTAATATGTATTTCAGGTGTTTCAAATGATGGATGAAGATTTGGTATTTTTACTAGATAGTGCGATCTTGAGATGGCAGGTGTTGAACACAAAATGAATAAAAATAGACAAAAGAAAGGCGATTTTTTTAATTTGTATAAAGAATTGAAATTGTACCCTACAACATTCTTTGAGTACACTCGAATGCCCGTGTCAACATTTGACTACATCTTGAATAAAATATCACCTAAAATCACCATTGTTCAGCTATCAGTGACAATTGTACTTTTTGGTGTGTAGTCGCTTCGGCTCTGTGAAAGGGAAGTCACCAAGACCCGCGCGCCCGCACCCGCCGCCGAGCCCGTGCCTGCACTCCGAATGAGCCCTTAGTCACTACACTACGGACGTAAACGGCGGTTTTATATATTTGATACTTCGCGTCTGTCGTCGCAACCGCATTAGGCTTGCAATGTAGACGCACACTAAGGGTGACAAAATAGGCGATGAATTCGGTTTGTTGGATTTCAACCACTTTTCGTTAACCGATTTTTTATATATATGTGCGATTTAGATTATATTTATATCAATATTTTCAAACAAACCAATGTTTCGAGCCCTTTACAGGTGTCATGGTCATGACTGACTGGTCCAATGGTTTGCTGTGGTCAGTGGATGAGGAGGCCCCGGGTTACATTTTCAATTGGACCAAATTAGTCACGTCGCAGGCAATACGTGTAAATAACTAATTATGTTTTCTTATATTATTATGTATGTTCATTGACTTACAAATAAACGACGACGGGTCTAATACAAAAACCACGAAAAAAATGTCCCAAGTCAACCTATTCGAAATTTAAATTGTAATGTCATCGCAGTATCGCGCTGTCAGTAGAACAAATGAAGACTAAAGCGGAGTTTGGCGCTCTGTATACTATTTTAGCGCCTTACAAGTGCGGACACTTTTTAGCGCGGACCCGACGTCCATATAATTGTAAGTCAATGTGTATGTTAGTCTATTTATGGATCTATGTAACTTGATTACAAACAAAGAAATAAAAAAATATAAGTATAAATTACGATGGAATGATGTCTTGGTTTAGATTAGTTCCTCAGACAATGAAATAAAAAGGATCAATAAAAAAGTGGTACTTGTATTTACCAAGTATTATTAAAATCGGTTAACGGAAAGTGGGTGAAATCAAATAAACCGGATTCATCCTCTAATTTACCATGCTTAGAGTCGTGCGTAGAGTAGAGACTATTTCTGACTTTGTTCCAATTTCCATAGCAAATGCATTTAAGAAATAAATAAAATAAAATCGGCTTTATTTTACATGTGCATGTAAAATAAATTAGAAACAATTATAGAAAATTACACAAATCCTTCATAAAAAAACAACATAATTTAATTTATTAAATTCATTGATGGTTCGAGTTTACTCTTGACAGTGACAGCTTCAGAAAACCGTGGTAACGTATAATGGAAAATTGACACTGGTGACGATCGCCATATTTTTTATATTATTCTTATAAAACTGACACTGGTCCAAGCCTAGTGGCCGCCATTAAGAAAATAATACTAATTTATATTAATATATTAATTTAATAATACACCAGTACCAGTGTAGATATAGTATGAAAATTGGAATATTATATATATAATATAATATTTTTTTAATATTAAAAAGAGCCACATGGTTTCCAACTATCGATTAGGTAGGACCACATCCCTCGTGGAGTAGCGCCAGTTTAAGGTTCATAAGGTTAACAATTCACGGAGCGGTTTCCATCCGCGCCCGCCGGTGCTGCTAGAGTTTTATTTCAATACTTACGACCCTGCAAGTTTGTGCGGGCACGTAGCTGCCGCGGTTGCGGGCACGAAACCGTTGCGATTGCGGAACGGACCGCGAAGTTAGTGGGAGTTAATTGCAAGTCGCGCGGTTAATAGAGAACTAACCCTGCGTGCGCCTGAACCGACCGCCAAAGTGTGCGGGCGACGACGGCCGCCAAGCGCGCAGGTCATCGCCTCCTGCGCGGTTCTACTAGTACCCTGCCGCGGCAACCGCGCGCAACCGTCACCACCAAGGCGTAAAACGCGCCGTGAAATGTACTACTAATTTTACATACTTAACTGTTACATTCTACAGATGGCGCGGTCCCGCGGCAGACGCGAGTGAAAACCGCTCCGTGAGTTCTTAGTGTAACGAAAAATTAGTTTCAGCGCCATCTAACTTGTAATAGTTAGCTATTATATACTAGTAGTATTTTTACTAAAACACCACCTGTTGGTGAATGGCTGGACCAGGATGAAAAAATACTGAAATATTGTAACATAACTCTTATTCAAGTGACTGTAAGTTTAATTTTGTTAAATTTTAAAATTGTTTTACGTCGTTTTCACCTTTTAAGCCCTACCCAATCAAAATCTTTAAGTTATGGTAGTAGATAATAGAGCGTAAAGTTTGAATTAATAGTTTGAAATAATAGCACACAAGCTAAAAAGTGGCGACATCGGTACCCGATCTTACATAGCGTCATGACATATCGCCCCTTTTTTTCTATATCTATGTTATATACTCGGTTAAATGAACCACGCCACACCATAATTAGTAAGACAATTCTTCTACAACAGTTGTTATTATTAATATACCACCATATCAACTGTTGGTGGATGTTACAAAAACAATATTGAAATGGTTTACCTATGGGTATCCAAAGTCTTCTTAGCCCAATCGCTAGCACCTTTCAAGCTGTCATAGAATTCACAGTAGAAGCAAAAGTTATCGGCTAACTCGCGCCTCACGATCGCTTCTTCGAGGAACGCGTTCACGCTCTCTGTGTGTTTAGATTTGTATTCCTGCACGCAAAGGGCCACCCGCTGTACTGAGATTTGTCCTAAACAGAAAAAGTTTACAATGATGTAATGTCACCCAAACATTGTCATAACGACCAATGAAAAAGCCGTGGCAGCCTAATGGTTTGAAGCGTAAAGCGGAGACCGTGGATTCGAATCCGGACTCGTACCTAAATCGTACGTAAATCCGGAAAAATAGTTTCATTCCTATGTATAACAATCGCGAAAACCTAAGAACTCGACTCGTACCTTTAAGTTTCTCGGAATTTGTGCAAAATTGAATTTCAAATTTATCATGAACTTTTCCGTGAATGAAAACATCGTTATGAAACCCGAACGTCGCAGAAGGTTCACTACCTTCGGAACACATGTGAAGTCCCCAACGCCATTGGGCCAGCGTGGCGGACACCTCGTCACAGAGGAGACCCGTATCCTGCAGTGGGACGTATGAATGGGATGATGGTGACTAATGAGAAAATGACTCTTACCAAAATGAAACCAAGGCGACAAATTGCTCAAAGCATCCTGTGTAGGATCGTTCCTTTTAGTAGCAAATATTTTAAGTCTCTTCTCAATGAAACTTTTTAGCATTTTCACAGCTTCATCATAGCCCGGTTTGGCCCAATCCACTGGACCTACTGTCTTGTCTGCCTCTCTAGTTTCTATGGCTTTGTCCCAATCTATTGGCTACAAATAAAAACAAAATTGGAAGATTTAATATTGAATTACTAATTGTGGGTCCCTTGAATGACCCAAGATTAGTAGCAGTAGAGCTCCTTGTGAAAGGGTTCGTCCAGGGTACTGCAGTACTACCCTGGACTGGTGCCTATAATTCAGTTGGCTCTTCGTAACTTTCAATGCCGCTTTGTTTTACAAATAAGTAGGTCTATGATACTCAGGCGGATTCTGCCCACCAGTAAGATTATAATGATAAAGATTAATTTCACAATAGATATATTTCAATTATTTTTTTATGCAATGGCTTCTACCATCTCTCGTCCGGAAATTTAGTGTTCACGATAATTGTTGATGTATTTTTATAGGTTTTTGGGTTCATGCTTTGTTCCGCTCGCACAAAAGACGCCGTCCCTTTAGGACAACTAGCATGATAGACGGGAGAGGTGGGACGGGTGGCGGATGGTACAAATATGGGCCACAACGGACGAAGCTTTTTCTTTCGATCCTGAATCGGAACCCGAGAACCCATCACAGGAGTTCTCAAGACTGCCCAAAAAGAAATCTTTTTCTTCCATATACTAATTTTTTTTATAACATTATGTGACGGGACGAACAAGTCGTGCACCGGATGGTGAACTACACATCTGTCCATAACAATTACAGTGCCACTCAGAGCTTTAAATTGCAAAGATCTGAGGGGCACTACCACTGGGCCCGATATCCTGAGACATAAGTTGACAAGTCCCATGTGCCTGTAATTTCATCAGCACCCTTACCCTTCAAAATCGGAACACAGTAATGCTGACATTACTGCTTGGCGGCAGAAATAGGTAAGGTGGCAGTACTACCCTGAACGAACTCTTTCACAAGGAGCTTCTACTGCTACTAAACTATAAGAGTTAAATAAATTTTTATTGAATTGATAATTATAAGAGTTAAAGATAGAAAGTTTTTTTTTAAGAATTTGTACTAAAGATGATGACGACATTTCGTAAATGTTTCAGGGAAGCATGTTTTAAGTTTTGATGACTGTTTTGAAATATTTATTTACCTGTTTTGTTTTAAAATTGAATTTTAAAACCCTAAATTGTATTTTAAAACACAAGAGACACGACAATTTAAAACAGTTGTCAAAACCTACAACATGCTCCCCTGAAAAAATCTACGAATGTCGCTTACGCCCTTTCTACAAAACACCGACGATATAATTATTTCAATTAAAATATCAAAGTCTATAGATGGTGGTGACCACTTTCTATCAGGTATATCTATCAGGGGTATGTTAGTTTCTGTACAGTAAATTGTATCATTTACCTCAGGCTCAAACGTGCTGATATAAGGATGCTTGATGACTGGTGGAAACTCCGTGAGATATTCTGCAAGTTTTGAGTTGATTTTGTTCCGGATTGTTCTAGCTGAGTACTCCTGCTTGTCTGACGCCACCCAACATGGGACTATGTTGTGGGCATCTACCTGAGAAAGTTTACTTACTTTGAATGAAATATGGTTTAATTGTATATTTCTATGATTAAATTATGTTTATTTTGACCTGTATTATAGAATACAGGTTGTATTATAGAATGAATATTTTCATGTCAAACCTTCTACCTACACACACGTCAGTTTGTAACATAAAGCCTGTGTGTGGCCTGTTTGATGTTAAAGTTATGTACATTTTAACATTGTTTTATAACAGCAACATTCTAAGTGATCACATTGTAAATGTGAATAATTAGTTATTTTTCATACACTGTTTTTTTTATTCTAAATTTTAGCTTTTTTAGACATTGACTTATAATGTTTTTAGAAATAAATAATTTAAAATTGGAACTGAAACAATTTTTTTTGGATTGGATCTAAATATTTGTTATTTCAAACAAACCAATGTGTAGCCCTACTACCGACATGAGAGACCAACGACTGGGGTGAGTAGACTCTTAATAGGATCCCACGAACAGTCAGTGGGAGAATCTCTGAGGATCCATCGAGCACGTTTTACAGAGGGTTTACAGAAGAGTTCCACATAACTCCACTATGGCATCGCCCGTGACAGGGTATGCATAACGCATTTTCTAGTGTATAACACAGGTCCCTTAGTCATGGTTACAAAGGGAATGAAGCATTAGTTTGTTTGAAAAACTCGATATTTGTGATTAAATAAATGATGGAAAAATTGATTTACTTCCAATGTGTAACAATTCATGCAAAATAGGCACCCATTTCACCACACCATACCATGTGTAACAATTGTAAAAACTTAAAATCTCAATATATACTTTATAAACCAAGAAATACAATTTTGGACTTACACATAAAATGTTCTTGATGAATAGGATGTTTGTACAGGATTTAAGAATTGTTCAATAAAATTTAAACTAATTTTTAAGATCGGACACATAGAAAAAATTGCTTCAATTCGGCCAGATTCCAACCAGTTGTCTCCTAGCAAACCGTGCCAGACGCTATGCCAACTAAGCCACGGTTTTTTTTAAAGTGTTTGATCTTTGTATTAATAATCATAACAAACTAGTGGAGTAATTTCACAAAAAATAATTGAATATCAATTCAATAAAAAATTTAATTTTTTAAGTTTTTTATTGAAAGGTCACGATGTTTGACCACCATGATAATCAATTATTTTTGTGCTCAATTTTGCCAACTAAGCTATGATGGCGAATTTCTCTATGTGCTTGTTGTTCTTTGTTTTTAACAATTTAAAATAATTTTTATGCAGAAATTACTTTAAAATATTAAGAAATTTTCAGACAATAAAAAAGCACCACATTTGCAAATATACCTGAATCAATGGCACATCTTTCTTAAGTTTCTCCTTTAGACCCTCCAGCCAACTCATAGGGGTTCTCAAAGGATTGAAGTCACACACCACAGCTCCAATATTGTGCTCTACGATCCACTCTGGCAGCGCCTCTGCTCCGCTGCCTTCCAGTAGATGGAAGGATATGTTCAGCTTTTTACAATCCGCGGCCACTTTTTCTAGTCCTGGAAATATAGTCAGATGACATGTATGCTTTAGTTTACAATAATAAACAAAGAAAAACTAAATATACCCACAGTGTAAAAATATTATACAATGTGGAACTAAGTACCGTCGTAACTGAAAATTGTTGAATCAAGAAAACAAGATTTGACAGTTAAAAGAATTACTGACTGAAACCAATAAATTTATATTATAGTTTATAAATGAATAACCAAATATTATGTATAAAAATAATTACAATATACGCAATAAGATCCATTCTTTTCATTTACTACTTTCTAGTTTTAAGTACGATAAGTGTAATAATGTGATATTCACCTTTCAATAAAAAATGAAACTGTCTCACAGAAGCGTCCAAATACTTGGCGATAATACAAAAGCACACATGCAGCGGTACTTTATTCTTCAATGCAAGTTTTTGTGCGAAAAGAAAAGCCCAATTATCTTGTACCCTGCTGTCTCTAGACATCCAATATACGATACCCTCACAACTATCGGGCACCATTTGCTCTTGAGATACGATTCTTACACGATTTTTATTAAATTTGAACTTTAAAATTGATTCCGCGGTATCCTCTCGTGTCTGTTGTAATTTTTTCATAAACTCTTCTACACTTGAGTTGGACTCGGCGCTGTTAGAGGCCGCGACATCTGTAAGTTTAGGTTTCTTTGCTGGTGAGGTCATTTTTGCGTAAAAATGAAATAAATTTCTTTTATAAACTAGATTTCCCACGACAGTCACGCAGTAATGAATCCGCGCCATGAACGGCTACGGCTGGGCTGGCCGCCACGCCACAGACAACAAAATGTAAATGTCAAAATTCAAAATTGACTTGTTTTTTAATATATTTTTTGACGGGCTGACGGTGGGTATAGTGATTTTAGTGATGTCACAATTAAAATACATTCAGTTTGAAATTTTTCGGTTCACCTTTTTTGAAATTAATAATACGTTTTAATTTATAGTTGAAATAAAGCTAACGAACGGCGTACTATGTGGTCATAATTATATTATTGTCTTAGTTATATACTAAATCTATGGTTATGAGTATACTTCTTTTTTTTCCATCCTCTAAAGTATACAGACTATGGAAACCAAAGGACATGTTATATTGATATATATAAATCAGACGTTATATGTATATGATAAGATTTAGACGTTGAAAACAAACATTTTATTGTCTTTGTTTAACTACCTACTGCGTACCGTCGTAAGCTAAAAGAGATAGCACTACATTGATTTATGTCAAATACGTGAAACGAAAATATGTAACGTCATCCTAGGCTAGTTGACTCTTTTTTGAAGTAGGTCTAAAATGATTAAGAATTGTTCAATTAAAGCAAAAAAAATGTTACCATATTTTTTTGAGACCTAGGTAACCGCAAAACTTAATTTAATGATTTTACTTTTCATACACAGGCGAAAACGCTGTCGGCCATATTAGTCTATAGATTATCTGTGCTGTGACGTCATTGTGCACATAAACAATCATTTGACTTCTGACAAACATTCACCGTTGTGTTAGCACTAAGTTTTTATTAAAAACCATGACTTCCACTAGTTTATACGAAAAGTATAGTAATTATCGTTATTGTATTGTACGAGAATGCAAAAACACATCAATAAAGACCCCAG